ATTTTATTTACAATGTTAGCCCGAAAAAATTACATTTTCCGTGCACTTGCTATATCGTTTTAACGAGTTGTAATATCCACGACATATGGATGCCATCTTTCTGACCTTTGCCCTTTGTTTTCCAATAAGGACCGTCAACGCGTCGCCATTTCGAGAGTGTTTCTAGCTGTTTTTAACATTTTACGGCCTCAAAGCTCATACCACAAGGGAAAGAATGTTATGCTTGTCATTTTCATTCGTATCACTTCTTCTGGCAACGAATCATTTTCCCGCCGCACTGCCGATACTAGCGTGCACGTGTTTTTTTTTATTTGGTGATCGTCCCGCTTTGCTTGACAATGTAAACAGAGCTAGAGGTAGTCGAAGTTATTTACATTACATGAAAATTGCGTTGTAAAACACCAGTGGGATGTCTGATTTTCTACCATTGACAATGTTTTCTTTGTGGCGTCATAGCGAGATCGACAATTCATCGACTGTGCAGACAATAGGGACCAATTTATTAATAGCAGCTCAATCGATCCACGCCGCTCGGTCGAAGAAAAAGCGAATGACTAGCAAATCTACCGGGGAAATATGGGAGTTAATTCCCTAATTTGGAAAATTGGTGGCGCTGAGATAAGGACTGGGTGGCGCAGCGCCACTTCCCCATCGTGGAGGTCCCTGCAGCGCGCGGGGTATGTTTTTAATGATTACCACCAATAGTCTTACAAGCAATGCAAAAAGAATTATACATTTATACCACGTGGCACTGAGGTAAATATAATTATACGGGTTCAAAATTGTAATTGCAAATAGTTGGTGAAAAAAAAAACATAATTGGGACGCACTTGATGCTGACAAGGAGTAGATTTTATTGTGTGTACTGTTGCATTTCCGGTGCTTTCCGCTAGGGGGCGCAACCGCACTCAGAAAAAGAGAAATGCTTGGATACGCAAAACCCCCATTAGCGGCCTCGGACCGGACCGGGCAGCGGTTTAGGTGGACCGGGCAGGGCAGCTAAGTCCGAATACCCCCAGTAGTCATGGCATCATGGATTCATCAAAAGTTCAATCCTGTCTGCTTCCAGACCTTCCCGTGCATCTAAACTTGGCTGCAGTGCAGCCACCAACTGCAAGGGGGCAGGCAGGGGACATTGATGTTATGCTGTCAAAACGGCTTCTAAAACTAGAGAAAAAACTTTTCACAACAAAGGTGCTCAGAGACCGCAGGCGCTACAAGAAAACAGTAAAGCTTTTCCTGTCACACAAGGCTTTTTTGTTGAAAGAAGCTGTGAAGGGATCGATCCTCCTCCTCCTGACGTTCCTGCGCCAGACTGATGTGGACAGGTTCTACCACAACCACTACAGGGTGGGGGAGGGAACCCTGTCTCAACAACTCTCACACATCCTCATCTCAGACGACCTACAGGACAAGGTCAAGGGCGCCCAGCTGATCGTGAGGCTCCACGTGAAGCATGAAGACTATGTGCAAGTAAGAGACAGACTGGGGCAAGGTGAGAACCACAACTTATAGTATTACTGATGGCTTGCTGTTTAGCAGATAGATGACTTTCATTTCAATAAATGCCAACATAATTTCTGGCAAATTGAATATACAGTATTATCATATAGCCGGGTGACGTTGACCTATCAGAAGGCTCCATTCCATATTCCTTATGACGCCGTAATGTCAGAAGTAGAGTCAAAACCTGGTCTTTATTCATCACAATCCATACATTAAACATCTAATAATCACCCGCATATGACCTCAGGTGACCCAAAAAGAACACCGCTCTGTTCTAAAAAAATCCTAAAATACTAAAAGTAACTTGAGTTGTGTTCCAATGACCTCGGGTGACACCTGTTCCCTTCCTTTGACCCAAATAGACAACGACCCTTCCCCAGTTACCTCAGGTGACTCCAGATGTTCTATGTTCTATTCAGCATTGTGCAACAGGTAAATTGCACATTGTGTCACTTAACTGTGTCAGTTTGGATAGGCTATCGTATAAGCTATATGATAATAGCATTAATGGCCCGCCCTTTCTCACTCACTTGGTGGCTTTATTCGGTGGTTATAGCAACTGACAAGGCTTTATCACACCATATTCCCCTCGGGCGGGTCATTAACCCTTAATTCAGTAACATTTCAATATGGTCTCAAACATCTGACATTAATACTGACTGCATCATTCCTAATAAACAGGACTGGACCGTACCACTTCTGTCAACAACCTGCTGGCCCTGCCACCCCCCACCAGACATGTGGACCATTCCAGCCTGAGAGGCCTAGACCTGGCTGCGATTGGTCGAGGAGACCAGCCCTATACAGATGGGACTGATGACATGACCATGCCGTACAGACAAGTACAGTCAGCCGTACGAACAGCGAGAGAGAAATCCAAACAAGAGGTGAAAGTTCAGCTTGAGACGATGCAGGGGCAGGTGCAGACAGGAAGGATTGGAGTAGATGCTATGATGAGGGAGGTAAAGATGCTGAGAGAGAAAAATGAGAAAGCGGAGAAAATCCTCCTGGAACAGAAGGTAGAAATGAATGAGGAAATCCAGAAACTTCAGGAGACCAACAAGAGCCTGGAAGCCAGAATAGAAGAGCTGTTGACTGCCAAGCAACCAGTGGAGGGTGGAAGTCAGCAAAAAGATCCTGGACCAGTTACTGTACAACACGTGTCAGACCAACAATCAACAGATAAGCCCACAGCACCTGTACAAGTCAAACAGTCAGTGGTTCGGCCTAAAATGAAAGATACAGAAGCAAGTGTCAAGAGTAGTGTCAAGTCTAGAACAGCAAAGCTGCTGACTGCCAAGCAACCAGTGGAGGGTGGAAGTCGTCAAAAAGGTCCAGTACAAACCATGTCAGACCAACATTTCATGGATAGACCCACAGCAACAAAATATAATAATTAAATCAAACAATCAGTGGTTTAGCCTTAAGGGAAAGTTACAGGTGCAGAAGTCAGAGGCGTTGAAGCTCGCCCTAGAATGGACACGTTATTCGGTCATTACTGCCCTTTAAGTTGCTGACACGTAAATTTTGGCATTGCATGCATAAATAAAGAAATATCACCCAGTGATCCATGACCGGGTTAACATGTTAAGTAAACTGGGGAAGTCACATTCAAATCACATTGCATTCAGACGCAAATCGTGATCCAAGGAACCCGGTTTGAAACTACCTCCCAGCGTTCAGAAGGGGCCACTTGAATCTGGCTTCAGTAGTGATGCATACCTAAACCCAATTTTAGGTTCAGGTCCGGATTCAAGTCCAGAGGTTTAGGTTCAGGTCCGGACTTGTTGGTAACCTTGCAATGTTATCTGGGTGAAACTTTGGCCACATAACATGGAGGGTGGTACTTGACGATGCCCAATGGCAAGGTTTTCTTCATTTTGCAGCAAAGATTTTGCAATCTACGGAAGGTTTTAGGTGGTTTGGAAAGAAAAGGGGTAATATGTGAAATGGTCTTTTATGGTAATAAGTCCGGACTCGGTTCTTGACTTTAGGTTTTTTTGGACTTGAACCTAAACATTCTTATAAGTCCGGATCCAAGTCCAGTGAACCGGTATGCATCACTAGGCTTCGGTGAAAACTGGATCGAAAACGATTACAGCGATTTGGTGTGAACGTGGCCTTAGGGTATATAAATGTGCCTTGTTCTTCATATGCTAATGATATCATTGCCTGTAATATCTAAACCTACTTAAATGTACTACTTTTGTCATACAGGGACAAATGAAAAGCAAAAGACGCCCAGGAGCAGCTCTGAACCACTGCCAGACCTTCCTGTGTACCTAAACTTTGGTTGGTTGGTTGGTTTATTTAGATCCACAAACTTAAACTTAAATTAAACTTAGATTTAAACTTGGGCGCAGTGCACTCACGGCAAGAAACTGCTGCATTCACTGCAGGTGTTAAGAAGTATTTCCTCTTCATTAAGGATGTTTTACCAGTAAATCATTGAAGGTCACATTTTACATAATGTGCGCCAATTTTTCTCAACAGTCAAATTTGATTGTTGTTGGGTCATTCTGCTATTATAAAGACTAGCTGGATGATGTAGGGGGCAGATATGAATGCCACTAATTATCATGTTTATCATTATGTGATCAATAGGTAAGATAAAGGATAAGTAAGTAAGTAAAGTAAGTAATTATCATGTACATAAAGTTGTATTCTATTTCATAGATAATCTGTAGTCACTCTGTGCATCATGTATGACTTTGTTTCACCATACTGTACATTCTATATCACCTTTCAGATGTTGGGAGGTATTTCATCTTTATAAAGAACAAGGTGAGCTCAGACTGGAAGGACCTGGCTTGGTGTCTGGGGTTTGAGACACCAGACATAGAAAACATTGAAGGCAAACGGCGGGATGACAAGTCTCGCTGTATGGAACTACTGCAGGAATGGCACAAGCGGAAGGGAAACGCGGCCACCATACAGGTGCTGATGGAGGCTCTACAAGAGGCAGAGCTACAACTTGTTGTGGACAGTCTGAAGGAAAAATATCCTGGTACAAGACTTTTATGATATCTAAGAAAGTCACCTAAGATTCAGTATAAAAAATGACAATATTTATTCCTGATGTTACCCATAGATGGACTTGTCATTTAGACTGCATGTACCATTTCTTTTTCATCTGACAGCTATCACTCAGTCTATATCATGAGAAAGGGTCAAAACAAATTGAATGTAGAAATTGAGTAACATGTGAGTATGCACATGTACCTTGTTTATTACCATATGATATTACTGCCTGTTAATTTATTTGACTGAATTCTTTCCCAACAGAGTTGAATGAAAAGCCAAACAGCTTCAAACAGCTGCTGACTGCCAAGCAACCGATGGAGGGTGCATGTGGACGTCAGCAAAAAAATCCAGTACAAACCATGTCAGACAAACAATCCATGGATAAGCCTACAGCATTTAATACAGGACAAGTCAAACAGTCCGTGGTACAGCCTAAAAGGAAAGATACAAAAGTCAGACCAATCAGGGTGGGACAACCATGGGTGAGGAAAGTCAGGTTTGGGAGATATGGATCAGGCAGGGGGAAATTTAACCGTCCTTTGGGAGTAGCTGTTTCACAAGACAATGAGGTTTACATTGCTGATAAAGGTAACACCAGAATCCAGGTGTTCACAATGGATGGTGTTTATATCAGAGAGTTCACAACAACTCTGCCAGGGGAAACTGGGGAAACGTTAGAACCATGTGATGTTGCTGTAGATAGAAATGACAACTTGTGGGTGGTGTGTGAGAAACATGTAGTGCAGTATTCCAGGGAAGGCACCTGTTTGGTCACAATAGATCTGCCTCATGTTGGATACATGTGTGGCATAACTGTATCTATGGCAACAGAACAGGTGATTGTTACAGAGTTTGATGGGCAGAATGGTCGACTTCGAGTGTTTAACCAAGATGGTTCTGAGGTGGGGACATATGGGGCAGGTCATAGGTCACCAGAGCCTTGGTGGCCACGATATGTGACTGTGGATGGGGAGGGGAACATTCTGGTCACTGATGGCAAAAATCACTGTATCCATGTCTTGGACAGAGAGGGGAACTTTAAGTTCAAATTTGGGAGTGAGGGATCTGATGAAAGTCAGTTTAAATATCCTAGGGGCATTTGTGTTGATGGGAAGGGAAACATCATTGTGGCTGATGGTAGAAATGGTTGTGTGAAAATGTTTGACAGTCAGGGCAGATTTCTGTGTTACATTGGAAGTGGTATGAAGGTTCCCTGGGCTGTTACTGTGTCACCAGGTGGAGATGTGGTGGTGACTCATTGGAAAGATCACACTGTATCAGTCTGGACACAGGATTAGTGCTGTACCATACAGGGGAAAATCACACTGCAACACAAGTTGCCAAATACAAAATTAAACTGTTACAGTTGTGTTCATATCCTGTGTGAGAAGCATTGAGCAAAAATGACACACGACATAATGATTGCAAATTATAGTGGTCATAACCATCACTACTTTCTTGTCTATGCTCTATCAAGATGTACTTTTGTTATGGATGTAAATATTGTATTATTTGTAAGATGTGCATTTCCCATGCATCAATTAGCACAATCAACTAATGATATATTAGTTGTAGTGACCAGTATCTTAAGAGTTAGTAAAATGTCGTTTGTTTGGAATCCACTACAACTAATATATCATTAGTTGATTGTGCTAATTGATGCATGGGAAATGCACATCTTACAAATAATACAATATTTACATCCATAACATTGTATTGATTCATTGATTCACTGTATTGTTTCATTTTAGTTATTAGAAAACTTGTTTCTTTTGTTTAACTGTTTAATTATATTGTTTGACTTATTTGATTACTTCTTTATTGTCGATACTATTTGACCTGACAAAATTATAGTACACTGTAATGTACATTAATTTTGTAAGAACCTGATGTTAAGTTAGATGGGGGAGAACTCAAACAAGTCATGATGGCTTCTTCTCTACCCCAGCATGTATTGCTTTTACTACATACATAGATGTACAGGCAAATCTTCTAGTCACTCACCAACCTACGGTCTGTATGGATGCAAATAAAACTTGTTATAAACACATCAGACTTGTACATGTACATTGTGTTTGTGTCTAGTAGATGAACCCACACAGTCTCTCCGGCTAAGGCTAGGAGTCAGCTCTTCCACACGCACCAACCTACGGTCTGTAGAGGCAAAAAAAAAGTATTATAGACACATCAGACTTGTACATTGCATGTGTATACATGAACCCAAACAGTCTCCCCAGCTAGGCTCGGTGTCAGCTCCTCTACACGCACCAACCTTCGGTCTGTAGGGGCAAATAAAAAGTATTATAGACACATCTGACTTGTACATTGTGTTTGTGTCTAGATGAATCCACACAGTATCTCTGGCTAGGCTTGGTGTCAAATCTTCTAGTAACTCACCAACCTATGGTCTATAGGAGCAAATAAAAAGTATTATAATTATAGACACATCTGAATGGTACATGAACCCACACAATTTCCCCTGCTAGACTGGTAGTCAACATTTCTACATGCCCCAATGTAGGGTCTGAAAAAAAATTTATTATAGACACATCAGACTTGTACATTGTGTTTGTGTAATACTATACAGTTTCCCTGGCTAGGCTTGGTGTCAGCTCTTCTACAAGCACCAACCTGCGGTCTGTAGGGAGGGGGACAAATGAAGTAAAGCAAAGCAAAGCAAAATTATGGTATATTAATTACAACTTAAAGTAATACATTAACAAGGCAGATCTCCTTGAACAGGTTGGAATATCACACAGTACAGTCATACATGGATGAAAACTTTGCATTGCCATTAGAACCCAGAGCAATAAGTAGAATTCTCGGTCTCTTATAAAAAAAGTATTGCTGGTGTTTTGTTTCAAAATTAATATACTTTCAACTGGCAATTTTTTTTCATTTTTAATGGCAATATGTTTTGAGTGTGTTTCTAAGCATCTCCCTACAAATTATTAACTTTGTGGCATCAAAGTCCATATTCACCATACAGAAGATGAACAAACAAATTGCTCACTCTTCAAACAGAAGTGGTCATGTGCTGGAGCAAAGTTGAACTGAAGATGAACTTTGTCGCGGGAGTGGCAGACAAGGACACCATTTCCAGGGGCTGAAAATGGCAGCTGCTCCAAGTTCTACCACCGAAAGCCACAGAATCCTGGAGGACTATCTCTCCTGTGGAATCTGCTTTGAGCCTTTCACGAAGCCCAAAGCACTACCCTGTCTGCACACCTTCTGTTCGAGGTGTTTAGAGAGCCAACATAAAAAATGGTTGGAGGATTGCAGAAAGAAGCCACCTCAAGAACAGCAACCATTCAGGTGCTCAATCTGTCGAGAACCTGTGACTTTGACCTCTAAGGGAGTTGCAGGACTTCCTGACAACCATGATCTGGCCAACCTGTGTGAGGAATTCTCCAAGAAAACTCAGGTGGGAGAACAGAAGAACAGGTGTGGATTTCACCCAACAAAAGAAGTAGATCTGTTCTGCCAGCAGTGTGACGTACTTATTTGTAGTGAGTGTATCGGAGATGGCCACCCTGGGCACAACATCACGGGCGTAAAACAGGCTGCACCACAGATAAAAGCCAACATCAGGGCACAGCTCAAGAAGGGACAACAGAAGATGGAAGCCTTCTCAACTTTCCTCAAGAACATTCAAGATGTTCAAAAAAGGCTGACAGACAACAAGACAGAAACCCTACAGGAAATCAACAAAGCTTTCGATGAACAGGTACAGAAGTTACAAAAACAGAGGGATGGGCTCTTGGCTACTGTGGACAAGACTCATCAGGACAACATGGCAGCTCTGACAGGACCAAGAGACACTGTGCTGACTCAGCTGGCTGAACTGTCCAGGGTTTGTGAAGATGCAGAAAAGCGTTTGGAGCAAGAAGAGGTGGTGTGGCTATCACAGGACTTGAACTTGGGAGAGAAACTTGCAAAGTTTGAGAACACTCAAATTCCTGAAGTCTGTGAAACTAAACTTTCTTCTTTTGAACCAAAGAAATCTGGTACACTGATAGAGCTGGGAAAGGTAACAACAAAAAACATGTCAAACAAGATGGCTCTAGTTCTGTCCAAAAACGAAAGTTCTGGAAAAGCTAGAAGTACAAATGTCAGACCAATCAGGGTGGGACAACCATGGGTGAGGAAAGTCAGGTTTGGTGGAATGGGATCAGGTAGGGGGGGATTTAAAGGTCCTTTGGGAGTAGCTGTCTCACAAGACAATGAGGTTTACATTACTGATTATGGTAACAGCAGAATCCAGGTGTTCACAATGGATGGTGTTTATATCAGAGAGTTCACAACAACTCTGCCAGGGGAAACTGGTGAAAAGTTAGCACCACATGATGTTGCTGTAGATAGAAATGACAACCTGTGGGTGGTGAGTAAGGATCATGTAGTGCAGTATTCCAGGGAAGGCACCTGTTTGGCCACAATAGATCTGCCACATGTTAGATACTTCCGTAGCATAACTGTATCTATGGCAACAGAACAGGTGATTGTTACAGAGTGTGTTGGGCAGAATGGTGAACTTCGAGTGTTTAACCAAGATGGTTCTGAGGTGGGGACATTTGGTTCAGGTCATAGGTCACCAGAGCCTTGGTTTCCACAATATGTCACTGTGGATGGGGAGGGGAACATTCTGGTCACTGATGGCAACAATGACTGTGTCCATGTGTTGGACAGAGAGAGGAACTTCAAGTTCAAGTTTGGGAGTAAAGGATCTGATAAAAGTCATCTGAATGATGTTCGGGGCATTTGTGTTGATGGGATGGGAAACATCATTGTGGCTGACAATGGAAATGGTTGTGTGAAAATGTTTGACAGTCAGGGCAGATTTCTGTGTTACATTGTAAGTGGTATGGAGGATCCCATGGCTGTTACTGTGTCACCAGGTGGAGATGTGGTGGTGACTGATTATGACAATCATACTGTATCAGTCTGGACACAGCGTTAGTGCTGTACCATAGGGGAAAATCACAATGTAATAAATGTTGCCATATGTAACGTTACATATTAGCGTTCAAAATCATCATACTTTCTTGTTTATGCTGTACTTCATATTTCCCAGAGCTGGAAGCTGTAGGTCTGATACCAATTACTGATATAATTTTACTATAGTCAATATTGACAAAAAACCCCCATAGATTTCCTATTACTCAGCACTATCTACTACACCCCAGAATAAGGAATGACAAAATGGATTGATAAATTGTACCGTTTGTAATTTTGATGTATGTATTACTTTAAAAAGTAAATAAACTGGAGCTAACTGTATAAATTGTACAACTATATAATTATTAAAATCAGATGTCCACCTGCACATGTATAGCTCATACCATGTGTGTTTGTAAAGTTTTGTTTGATTTTGTTGTACAGGTTGTTATTATCTGAAGGTTAAATGAAATAAAGGTTTTGAAATGAGATTTGAGCAAGCATTTCTCTTGTGATTGATACTTCACAGACATACTATAACTAAAAGTATAGCTATAACATTATAGGTATAAAACACTAGACTGCACTCCTAAGACTGTCTAGTGTTTAAACCATTTTCTCCCCCCCCCCATACATAATTCATTACGGCTCAAAATACCACCTGTAATATTCTGTACTCATACAACCAATTCAAAATATGTGTAGGCCTTTTTCTAACACCATTGAGGCAAAATACTATAACTAAAAGTATAGCTATAACATTATAGGTATAAAACACTAGACTGCACTCCTAAGACTGTCTAGTGTTTAAACCATGTTTCTCCTACACAAATCATTCATTAGAGCTCAAAATACCACCTGTAATATTCTGTACTTATACAACCTATTTACAACACAGGTAGGCTTTTTTCTAACACCATTGAGGCAAAATACTATAACTAAAAGTATAGCTATAACATTATAGGTATAAAACACTAGACTGAACCCCCAAGACTGTCTAGTGTTTAAACCATTTACCTCCTCCACAAATCATTCATCAGGGCTCAAAATACCACCTGTAATATTCTGTACTCATACAACCGATGTACAACACATGTAGGCTTTTTTCTAACACCATTGAGGCAAAATACTATAACTAAAAGTATAGCTATAACATTATAGGTATAAAACACTAGACTGAACTCCTAAGACTGTCTAATGTTTAAACCATTTTTCTCCTCCACAAATAACTCATTAGGTCTCAAAATACCACCTGTAATATTCAGTACACATACAACCTATTTACAACACCAATTCAAAATTGTACATGTAGCCTTTTTTCTAACACCACTGAGGCAAAATAACTCTGCTTAAACATCAATCTGACAACCATTGGGGCAAAAGAACTCTGTCTAAACACAAATTTCACAACCACAGTTAGACCACAGCATTGACAGAGCCAGTCACCTGTGAACTTTGACCTTACATGACCTTGAGGGGTGTGTTCCGGTTTACAGGTGCATTCCTACAGGTGTAACAGATCCTGCACAGGTATTCAGTAACGGGGCCTGTGATTGGTGCAGACCGCAGACTGTTTGTTTGCAGACAATATTGTTTCACAAACAAGAAGACCTTTGATAGATTCTATGATGCCCTTGTTGAATATGCCAAGTTGCCAGGTTAACTTTTCAAGTATAAAAAGTGGTATCCTGAAAATACTGCAGCCAGAATAGCCAACAAGAGTCACTCTGTAAATAATTGTTTATGACTAAAGTGGCCAATGAGAAACGCTGTAACAAGTGTCACTGTTCAAATACACTTTCTGAAGCCAGAGACGCCGCCATGATTCAAGGCTAAGTCAAGGAAACAGTTCTTTGTCTTGAGGAAAGGTAAGCTCAGGCCAGGCGGTTATTTTACTAGCTTAAATTAATGTATGTGAGAAAAGTAAAACGTAAAATTCTTCAGTACAAAGTAGTCAAGCTTGACTTTTGTTCTGTAACTTTCTGAATCTACATGTTAGTTTCACTTTTAGGTACTTGTATACTGTGTTGTATAATGTTTGGTGACTCCCAACTCTGTACAGCTTTTTCCAATGTGTTTGTTGTTTTTCAGAGTAATTTGATGTAAATCTTTGAACCTGAGTGGTGAGAAAGTGGAAAATGTGTTTGCAATATGGCTAAACAAGGTGAGTTCATACAATAACTATAATCTCAAAACCTTGAGTTTAACAGTGAATTCATACCGGTAGTACCCTGGGCTGCAGGTTAGGCAAGATTTTCACTGTTAGGTAGTGTGCTAATTACAATGTTTCTTAAGAAGACAGTCAGGACAATTGTTGTTGCAGGTAGGCACAGTTCTCCTTGAATTGTTTATATTTTGTGTACAGTTGTATTGTATTGTATTGCAGGTACAACGTATTTGTATAGTCAGCTTGTGTTTACCCTTTATTTATCTGTCATTCTTTTACTTTGCAGGTGTTGAGAGGTATTTCGTCTTCATAAAGAACAATGTAAGCTCAGACTGGAAGGACCTGGCTTGGTGTCTGGGGTTTAAGACACCAGATATAGAAAACATAAAAGGCAAAGAACATGATGACAAGTCTCGCTGTATGGAACTGCTGCAGGAGTGGCACAAGCGGAAGGGAAACGCGGCCACCATACATGTGCTGATGGAGGCACTAAAAAACGCACAGCTACAACTTGTTGTGGACAGTCTGAAGGGCGAATTTCCTGGTACGTCAGCCTTTTACGATATATTAGTCAACTATAATAGATGTTTCAGTGGATTTACGCCTGATATTTCCATTATGTCAATTACTTATGATTTAGACTTCTATATGTTTTCATCTGACAGCTGTGACTGTCTATATTATATGAGAGAAAATGGCATAAGTTTGAGCATTTTATAGTTCATTACTAGATGCTTTATGAGCAATATCATTTAGTCACCTGTAAAATTTGAGACTACTTGCTTGAACATACCCGTACCTTTCTCAACAGAGTTAAATGAAAAGCCACAATCACCTACAAGCAGCTACACATCTGATATGGGAAAGGCTGAGAACATTGAAGCTATAAGGAAGGAAATAAAGATGTTGGAAGAGAAGAAAGCCCTCCTGGAGCAGAAGGCAGAAATGAACAAGAAAATACAGCAGCTTCAGGAGACCATTAAAGAAATGGAGGCCAGAAATGAGGAGCTGCTGACTGCCAAGCAACCAGTGGAGGGTGGAAGTCAGCAAAAATATCCTGTCAAAACCTTGTCAGACCAACATTCCATGGATAAATCCACAGCAACAAATACAGGACAAGTCAATCAGTCAGTGGTTCAGCCTGAAAGGAAAGATACAGGCAGAAATGTCAGACTAATCAGGGTGGGACAACCATGGGTGAGGAAAGTCAGGTTTGGGGGATGGGGAAAAGGTAGGGGGGAATTTATCCGTCCTTTGGGAGTAGCTGTCTCACATGACAATGAGGTTTACATTGCTGATCTGGGTAACAGCAGAATCCAGGTGTTCACAATGGATGGTGTTTATATCAGAGAGTTCACAACAACTCTGCCAAGGGAAACTGGTAAAAAGTTACAACCACAGGATGTTGCTGTAGATAGAAATGACAACCTGTGGGTGGTGGGTGGTGGACATGTAGTGCAGTATTCCAGGGAAGGCACCTGTTTGGCCACAATAGATCTGCCACATGTTAAATACCTCCGTGGCATAACTGTATCTATGGCAACAGAACAGGTGATTGTTGCAGAGTATGATGGGCAGAATGGTCGACTTCGAATGTTTAACCAAGATGGTTCTGAGGTGGGGACATATGGTTCAGGTCATAGGTCACCAGAGCCTTGGAGACCACGATATGTCACTGTGGATGGGGAGGGGAACATTCTGGTCACTGATGTCAACAATCACTATGTCCATGTCTTGGACAGAGAGGGGAACTTCAAGTTCAAGTTTGGGAGTGAGGGATCTGATGAAAGTCAGCTGAAAAATCCTTGGGGCATTTGTGTTGATGGGATGGGAAACATCATTGTGGCTGACAATGGAAATGGTTGTGTGAAAATGTTTGACAGTCAGGGCAGATTTCTGTATGGGCCTGGAAGTGGTATGAAGGATCCCTGGGCTGTAACTGTGTCACCAGGTGGAGATGTGGTGGTGACTGATCGTGAAAGTTACACAGTATCAGTCTGGACACAGGTTTAGTGCTTATTACCATACAGGGGAAAACTACACTGCAACACAAGTTGCCAATTCAAAATTAATCATAACAGTTGTGTTCATATCATGCTTTTAGCATTGAGCAAAAATTATACATACCACAAATGTACATAATCATCACTACTTACTTGTGTATGCTGTATTGTATAGCACAATTGAAATTGATTGTACTGTTTGTAATCAACTACATTTATTTGACGTGTATCACGTAGTTCCTATCAATTAGCACAATCTGTATCTGTGTCAGTATAGCTGGTATATAATTGATTTATTCAGGACTCTTGTATCATTCTTGAGAAGATTTTTCAATAAAAAGTGTAAATATTGGATTTTGTCTCTCTTGCTGTCATTCTTCTCAGATATTGCTTTGAATCACAGACTACACATTATAATTACCTGATTGGTGACAACAATCTGCTCCCAAAACACTAAGAAAATAAGGCATGTACCAGCTGGACTCGGTGTAAATTCTTCTGTAGACTACTCTAATGCACCAACCTACATGTACAAACATGTACAGTATAGAGCTTATTCACCACACGTCATCATGACGTCACGACCCCTCATGTCCCGTGCGACGCCATTTTGGGGTGCATCTCTATGTACAGCGAGTTTCCAAGCATTGAAATTGCCGACAAACGTTAGGTAAACTGTCCTTTGTCCTATTACATGAAGAGTTTACCACCACTCATACCTCTCGTTACTGGAACAAAATAAAATCTGTTGGGATTGACCCGTTTTTGTTGAGTTTTGATCAGTCTGATCGAGACGGCGTCTACCGCCAGTGGAGTCCATTGACGTGACTTAGCTTTGTTTTTTTTTTGGTACTCACGGGGCAGAAGTTTTTACACACAGGATCGGTTCAAACCCTTTAAGAGTCTGGAAGCGTTGTATCAGGATGTGTAGAGAGTGTTGTGGGACATGCAGTTGCGTGGTGACAAGTAAGTTGTAAGTCGGGATACGCAAAAGGTCGCTATTTTGGAACAGCCCCGGACTGTACATGTGTCTGGATAATCACAAACAAATGC